AAAACTGCAAGAACTTGGTACTGGGGGATAGCTATTTAGCTTATGGTTTAACTGCAGTGGTGTAGTTCGGTAATAACTGCTTTGAATTCAAGTTTTTATTGAGCTACACATTGTCTTCTGGCTGCCAGCGAGGGGATGAGAGAACTGCAGGTACTTGGGGGACATAGTTATTCAAATTACGGAGGGCTCAAGCGCAGCAGTGTAGGGGGGGGAAAGAACAAGAAGATCGCTTCTCTTCTTCCCTGCCTACACATCGTCTTCTGGCTGACAGCGAGGGGACGAGTAAGCTGCGCTCTATTACATTGGGGTGCTACTGGGGGAAATCGATATTTGGCTAATTATAGAGGGTTTAGGCGTAGCGGTGTTGGCGGGGAGCAACGGGTCTCGAAATGATCCATTTCTTCTGGTTAACACATTGTCTTCTGGCTGCCAGCGAGGGGACAACTTATAGGCTGCGCTTCAATGGGATACATACTTCTGGGGGGAAGCATAATAGCTAAATAGAGAGGGTTTAGGCGCAGCGGTGTTCTTTGGAGGAAGTGAACTTCTAGTGCTCCTGAGATGGGCCATTTCTTCTGATGAACACATCGTCTTCTGGCTGACAGCGAGGAGACGAGTAAGCTGCTCTCTACTATAATATTGGGGTACCGGGGTAAATGGCTATTTGGCTTATAGAGGGTTTAGGCGTAGCGGTGTTCATTTAGTAGAATAGGGGTGGGACCGTTTCTTCTCATGAACACATCGTCTTCTGGCTGACAGCGAGGAGACGACTTATGGGCTGCGCTTCATCGACGGGATACTACTGGGGGGGATCGAGAGGGCTATTTGACTTATAGACGTAGCGATGTCACTGGGACAGGAACACCCGATCACGCGCGATCAATTTCTTCTTGGTAACACATCGTTCTCTGGCTGGCAGCGAGGGGACGAAAAAGCTTCGTTTTAGGTAGAGGCAAAGTGTGTAGTTGAACGTACTAGAGAGTAACGCTCTCCCTGGATCGTAAGAAAGAATGGTAAGGTGGTATAGTGGGACGGTATGGAAAATATCTTTGCGTAGTTCGCGTTGAGTCGTATCGAGTGATACTCTATGATCCAAAAGATCGTTGCGAATCAAGATGGGAAGCATCATTTGTTACAAGGGAGACTTTGGGAAATATCAGTACATGTAGTTTCAGTCGAAAGAGCTCTCGACGCAACGAAACTTTGCTGGGCTTGCAAGGAAAGTTGGGTTTGGTCGGTCGTCGATTGCATCACGGTGTATCACTCGGCTCTTCGGGTGCGCTAATTGGCTTCTGAACGACGTATCAGCCTGTCGTTTAGGAGGTGGTGGCTACGTGTCTCAAGCGATGGGATGACGACGCCATGGTGATAAGCAAGGGGGATAGATCGGGAGGTGGAGAGCCTTCTCTCCTTTCGAATTCCCCTCTAAGGCTCGAGACTCAAACTTTCTTAGCCTGAGGGACCAACTGTCCTCAAGCTTATAGTCACAGACATCTTCAATGGTGATAGGTACAGCTCTTCTTCTTGCCTGCATCTCTCTTTCTCTCTTGTATTGTCATCGTCGTGTTTAGATCTTCACCAGACTAAATACAGCATTGCCTCACACAAACTACTCTCAATATGATAATTGAAAGGTAAGCAAGAAGTCCCTTCACAAACACCGATACTCCAAAGCCCCGTCTCACACACTGGCATCCAGCACCACCGCCTCAAACGGCCTCAACACCAACATCCCCTGATCCACAAACACCGTCGTCCCATACGTCCCTAGCAACACATCCGGCACCACCCTCTTGGCAAACTTCCCCTCCTCCAACCTCCACCCCACACTCCTCGGCTCAAAGTTCAACACCACCACAATCGCCGCCGCCTTCCCACTCCCCACATCCGCGCCCATGTACCCGTTCCGCCGGTACGCAATCACGCCCTTCTCGCCGCCCGTCAGCATCTCAAAGTCGCCGTACACAACGATATCGCAGAACTCCTTCCGGAACTTGAGTAGCCTGGACCAGTAGCTGTAGGCGCTGTCCGGGTCGTCGGTTTGCAGAGCGGCGTTCCAGCAGGGGTAGTCGTCGTTGACCCGCATCCATGGTGTGCCGGTCGTGAACCCGCCGTGCGCGGTGTCGTTCCACTAGTGTTGACCAATGTAAGGAATGGTTTCTCATAGGGCTACTTGAATGGTATATATACCTGCATGGGAGTCCTCCCGTTGTCTCTAGCCTTGAGCTGGACCTGCGCCATGACGTCCGACATGTCTGCGTCTCCGCCGCCCCGCTCTTCCAGCACCCTTTGCAAGACGCCCGTCAGCATATCCGGCGCTCATAGTATACTATACTACATGTCTACAGATGAGAAGATATATACTTATTCCAGTAATTGATAGTCTCTATATCCTTATACTCCTCGATCGGCCACTCCTTCGGGCAGTTTCTCATGCCGAGCTCCTGGCCCTGGTATACATAGACCGTTCCACTCTGGCAGACCAGAAACGTTGCCAGCAGCTTCGACACCTTCGCGCGGGTTTCATAGTCGCTGTCCGTATACTTGCGGTCCACAAACCTCGACACGGTGCGCGGCTGGTCATGATTCTCATCAAACAGCGTGTTCCACCCGTCGTGCTCGATCATGAAGGTCTGCCAGTGGTTCACCACCTCTGCCAGCAGCTTCGGCTGGAACCGGAGATGCTCAAACTTGTTCCCGGAGCCCCAGTCGACGCTCACACTACGCAATATCAACACCACCACCACCATCACACCCACGAGCCAGGAGGACTAGGGTTAAAAAGACTGGAAAAAAAAGAGACCATACATATCAAACTGAAATACCATATCCAGCTCGCCCCTCTCCCTACCGACCGCCTTCAACACCTCCCACTCATCCTTCACCCACGGCATCTCCCCCACCGTCAACACATCATACCCCTCCACCGCCTTTCTCCTCATCTCCCTCAAGAACTCATGCATCCGCGGCCCATTCGCGCAGTAGTCCATCCCGCTCTGCAGCCCCTCGCCGGGCGCATCGGGGAAGCTCTGCACCTTGCTGATCAGGTTGATGACGTCCATGCGGAACCCGTCCACGCCCTTGTCCAGCCAGAAGCGCATCACGCCGTACACGGCCTCGCGCACCGCCGGCACCTCCCAGTTGAGGTCCGGCTGCCCCGGCAGGAACAGGTGCAGGTAGTACTGGTCCCGCGCGGGGACATAGGTCCATGCAGGCCCGCTGAACACGGACTCCCAGTTGTTGGGCGCGCAGCGCACGCCGGAGATGTAGCGCGGCGCCCGCCAGACGTACCAGTCGGCCTTGGGGTTCGTGCGGTCCTGCTTCGATTCTTGGAACCACGGATGCTACCACACTACACCTCAGCCCTCACTCACCCTCGCAGAAAAAAAAAAAGAAACCCCACAAACCTCATCCGAACTATGATTCACCACCAAGTCCAGCACCAGCCTCATCCCGCGGGCATGCAGCCCCTCCAGCAGCGCATCCAGATCCCGCATCTCCCCATACCGCGGATCCACGTCGCAGTAGTCGGAGATGTCATACCCCATGTCCTTCTGCGGCGAGCGGTATATCGGCGAGAGCCAGACGACGTCGATGTTCAGCTTGTGGAGATAGTCCAGCTTGGAGAGGATGCCCGGGAGGTCGCCGATGCCGTCGCCGTTGGTGTCGGCGAAGGAGGAGGGGTAGATTTGGTAGACGGCCGCGGACTTCCACCATGCTTTATGCGCGTGGCGGCCGTGCGTGGTGGTGGTGGTGGTGGGGTTGATGAGGAGCGTCATGGTGCGCTGGTGTTAATTGGGGGTTATGGTGCACTGCTATTAAGGTTTATGGTGCAGGTGCGGGCGCGGGCGCGGAGTGAACTGAGGGCTGGATACATGTTTCGCGGGGACGGGAGGGGTTGGTTATAAACACTCTGGGGAATTAATCTATGGCCCACACTTCGATCGAGGGGAAATAAGTAGGCAAAGTGCATGTATGTATGTACATTGACGTCATGACGTCCAATGTGTTGTCAAGAAGCCGCAAATCTCCCAAGCATCACCCCCGATCACTCGCTGCTAACCAACCAACTTCCAGTTGAACCAGAAAACAGCAATTTTCCTCGCAATAAAAACTATTTTTATTTGAATTCTCTTGTTAATCTTTATCCCAGCAGGAAGCTCAACTCCCACTCAACATAGACAAAAAAAACCAACAAGGGAAAGACAATGACTACATGTATTTCCCGTAAAACACAATATCACCCCCTCCAATCCTTCCCTCATAAACAGAGCCCATGCACCAACCACCACCATCAACCCCCGCCATATACCCTTCCACTACTACCCAATATTCCAAACCAACATGATAAAAAAAAAAACCAAACAAGAAGACTTTTTATGTTACTCACCATCATCGCAACTTCGTAAAACCTACCCACCAATCAAACCGCACCCAACTCCCAGCTCCGATTTTTCTTTTTTCCAACAAACTCCCGCGAAAATGTCCAACTAATACTTTCCGTAATTCATACAAAACAAGAAAGAGGGGGGGGGGGGGGTGATTTTAAACCCCAGACTTGTGCGTGTGCGTGATCGAAGAAAAATGCCAAGAGGAGATGTAGAGAAGAAGGAAGGGGGAGTGATAGGATGGTAGAGAAAATACACAATAACAATAGAGGATCAATGGAACCCGTTAACACTATTCAGAACAAAGTTGATACATAAAGGTAACAAACAAAAACCATGACGTTCAGCCAGGTCTAAGGGGGGAAAGGCAAAAGTCGATGCGGTTAAAAATAGTAAGCACCCAAATAAGAAAGGAAACTTGAAAGTACAATACTAGGGAAGAAAAGAAGTATTGGCCCAGCAGAGCAGGGCAACGTTAACATTTATATCACCATAAAAAGACGAAAGGCACTGTATACATGTTTGTTACTCCATAACAAAGTGAGACGAGGGAAGAAATATGAAAAATTGAAATAACAAAGAATCAGGTCAAAAATGTCATCTCAAAAACCCCTAGCGCTGCTGGGAATCAGTACTCAACTTCTACCAGAGGTCGAGAAAGGGCTGGATGACTCACCCTTCCTCCCCTTCTTCCACCACCCGCACCTCCCTGTTGTTGCTGTTGCTGTTGCTGTTGCTGTTGCTGCTGTTGCTGTTGCTGTTGCTGCTGCTGAGAGAAAACCGGAAGTCCATTCATCGCTCCATAAGGATAGCTGGCCATGAGTTGCTGTGCCATCAATGGGTTTATTCCACCTGGACCCATCCCCATCCCCCCAAGCATCGGACTTCCTGCCATTTGCTGCTGTTGAGGGATTGGAGAACCACCCGGGTGTCCTCCACGGAATTGATCCTGAGGACCGGGTGCAGTGTTGAAATTGCCCATTGGGGGTGGCATGCCATAGAACCCTGCACCTGGACGAGCCATTGATTGTTGCAACAAGGCTTGGTATTGCAGTGGGTTATTCATCCCAGGTGGACCACCAGGGTTATAGAGCTGAGCGCTGAGATTGAATTGCTCAAATGCCCTTAAGGTCGCGAGATCAATGCCCCCATTCTGAGAGAGCTGAGCTGCAACGGCAGGATCAAAAGTTGGCTGGGCGGTTGGATAGTAGGGAGCGGATGGAACGTCACGGTTATTGTGATGATTGTTCTGGTTATTGCTTGCAGGTGCATTGTGATGTGTTCGGTTGCGGTCATTTCCTGCATTTGAGTTTCCATTCGCCTCTCTAGCATGGTCTTTCTGCCCATTGTTGCTGTTGTTGTTGCTACCAGAGTTGTTGGAGACACCGTTGCGAGTGGACAGACCAACCTCGTCCATCAACCTCTTGTATCCCTGAGAAGGAGTTGCCTTGAGCTTGAGAAGAACATTTCGGACGTTCTGTACAACCTCACTCCTCATTGTTTCCTCGAAGAACGGTGTAGTAAGAACTTTGAAAATAAGAGTGGCTCCGCAAGAATGATCGCTCAAAATATCCTCCAATACCTTATCTCCGGGTGAGAAGAATAACGCCTTGAGAATAGTATCACGTGCCTCTGGCTCATTACGTTGGTTAATAACCTTTAGAACAGTCAAGTACGCTACCTTGTGGGTGCAGAGATGAACTAGGTGAGGAACCAATCTCGGTGCAAGCACAGTTCGTCGGCGGGGGAAAGTGCAAGTGTCCAAGAACCAAGTCAACAGCAATGCACCATTGGCGTTGGTAGCGAGCTGCACACTGTGTAAGGCAATGGCAGCAGCCAGCATTCTCTGTTGGTCTTTGCTAGCGTGATGGCTCTCCAAGCACGCCCTCATTGCCCTTGCACCAAACCTCCCCTGCGCAATCTCCCACATACGACCCAGCATAGTCTCAAAAATAAAGTCATTCCAAGGAGCTGCGAATCGCAAACAGCACTGGAGTACATAGTTTCCATATTGATCAAGGAATAGCGCAACGGTGTAAGGGCGAAGACAGTCGCAGATTTTGTTCATCTGTGCAGGTGTCTTTGCCACATCAATGATCTTCTGACCAGCCCAGGTACCGTTTTTGTCTATCATATCAATTAGCAACAGCCTTTTAAAATTACATGATGGTGTACTTACGAATTCCGATTTCAGCCAAGTGAGGGCCAATTTCAACAAGCATCGTCTCCTTGATTTCCTCGGAGCAATACTCAAACAATTTTTGAACAACAGTGTTGCCAAGATAATCTATACAACAATCAGCTTGCTAGAATGCAACTTCCAAGAATGAAGAGAACTAACCGCTTGAAAGCTCTGCAATTTCTGGGAGCATGTTGAGAGCAATCTCTTCGATTTCAGAGTTAGAGCAGTTTCCATTATCAATTCTCTTTCTAATATCTCTAAGCTTTGGTGCGTCGTGAACCCGGTTGTGACTGGGCTCAGGGATAGAAGGAATTTCGGCTTCAAACTCATCGTATTGGATTGCAAAATCGATATTCTTTGCCATCTTTGGGAGCTCGGACTTTTCAGCACCGAATTCCACAACAATGGAGAGTATATCATCCTTCATCTCGGACAGTTCGGGAACCTTAGGTACTGCCGTACTGTCGTGGCCTGTGCCTGCATCCTTGCCGTTAACGCCTGAAGTTGAGTTATTGCCATCACGAGACATGGAAAGACCATTTTCGGCACCAATGGCTGTAGGGTTTTGATGGGGATCTGGGCTTGGTGTCCCATATACACCTCCACTGGGGGTGGGTGTTCCGTTGCTTCCGGCTGAGGATGGCTTGGCAAATCCAATTCTAACAGGCCCTGCACCCGGGAAAATTTCCTTTCCGTTCAACTGATTGCGAGCCTGAATTGCAGATTCCATGCGTTCGAAGTTGATGAAACCACAGTTCTTGTGGGTCAAGACTCTCGCTGATTCAACGTGTCCGAATGTACGGAAGATGTGATCAAGTGAGGTGGTAGTTGTAGAGGCAGGAATATTTCCGAGCCATAAAGATCTTGTAGGACCCTCCAAAGAAGATTCTTCAATAGAAGCCAACCCACCCTCACCACTGGACGGGCGAGGGTGCAATGAAGCGAGTTTCAATGTGTCAGACCCACTCTGTAAATCAAAATAATCGCTCCTCATATCAGAAGCGCTTGTCATCGAGTCAAGCCTTGATGGAGTAGCCAAATAACCCTTCAACCGACTGGCGGGTGGAGAGTCCAAAATACCAGCAGTCCTGGCTCGAGGTCGACTCGGCGATGCGTGGTTTGTATACGCAGCCACAGCCAAGGCATGGGCATTAGCCTGAGCTTGAGCAGCAGCCATTGCAGTCATGGAATTCGGGGTCACGGAACCACTGTGTTGAGTCGAGTATAAATGACGAACTTCATCATCTTCATCATCCTCTTCATCTTCAGCGTACTTCTCCTTTGCATTGACCGAATAAGACCGAATACGATTGATGTTCCTCTGTACAGAGCTAAGATCTGAGACAAATGGCTGTAGGGCAGCTGCACGTTGACCTTCAATAAGCGGGTCAAGAGTCATCGGCTTTGCAAGGGTTGCCCTTGATGTCTGAGGTGTATCCACAAGCCCAAGGTAATCTAGGGTTTTTGGTGCCATATGGGTGCCCTCATCATCTTTCGAGAAAGACGACTGGGCTGGGGAAGGGAGATTGTTGCTTCCGGGGCGGGATTGTGACCAGGAGCTCGAAAAGATGGAAGGCCCAAAAGCACTAACATAGTTTGTCCGTTGAGGCAAGTTCAAAGATCCTGAGCGTAATCTGGAAGCTACTGAATAGGTTGAGAGACCTGCTCCAGATACAGGAGGGGTGTCTACCAAGTCCAAATTTGACGGCGAGGAGGACTTGAAAGGGCTTGGCACGGGGGACGGACGACTTGTCTGCGGAAGAATTTGAGAGATAGCTGGCGGAGCGTTGGTGAGGCCGCCGGGTGAAAATTTCGAGGGGACGGTCCCTGCGCGTGCGCGGCGATACACCGGAGACGTGTAGTCGGATGCCATTGAGCCATTGTCAGCGAAGCTATTACTTGGTTGTGACTCCTGCACAGAGTTCTCGCGGTCCCGTAGAGATGATGCCGAGGTTGTTGGCATTGGCCCCCAAAGACCCGGAGGGTGTGGAGGTCCAACTCCCTCTTCGGCCTGAATTTCGCGTGCCCTTTTTGAGAACAGCCTACTACCGGAAGACGCATCATAATTAGGAGAACCTGCCCCCATTCTTACACTATTCGTCGAATTTCCAGCACTCATTGACCCGTTAGCAAAACCAGGACGCAAAGATCCAGAACCCGGGTCAGTAGGAGAAGAGTTGGCAGTATTGCCTCCGGTAGAAGAACCGGAGCCGTGATGAGTGGCGAGTGATTGAAGGTGGCTCATAGTTAGGTCAGAATTGGACGACATTAGGAATTACACCTAAAGACTTTTGCGTCAGACTCCAAGAAGCCACTTGTAAAGAAGGTTCACAAACCAGTGATGTGGGCCCGCCAATTGAAAGAGCTTGCTCTGAGCAAATGTATATATGTCGACGACTCAACTATCGAGGGTCTGTAATGGCCAAGGCTGAAAGAACCGAAGGAAATTAAGCCCGGTGATCCGATATTCAAGTAGAAAACCGGGAGATTTATGTCCTTGTGGTCCTCTCGATTTAAGATTATTCCTCTATGTAGCGCAGCTGAAAAGGCCTCTTCGTCAGATTACAGCGGCCAGGATTAAAATGGCTATCTCGAAATATATGTAATGTGCGTATGGAAAGCACTGACACCAGATGAAAACGTGGTCAGATAAAATACCGGTTATCGACAGGAGCGGAGTCGACGTAGATAAAGCACAGAAAAAAAAAGGGCCAAGGAAGAAGGGGAGGAGGCTCTGCACGCTAAAAATTCCGTGATGGCTGGGGCTTTAACTCACATTCCGTTACAACGCGAGACGTGTGTTCCAAAAAAAGACCGATTTTCGCCGGTATAAAATAGGGATGGTGAATGTACGAAGGGACCGTGTATACGTTAATGCTGACTTTACAAAGTCACTTCAGATTAAAAGGGGGGATGTGTTGGGAGTAGTGCGAAGTAGAAGGAAAGCCCCCGTATGTAAGGAGCAGACTACAGTGGCCGAAGCAGGGCTTTGACGAAGCGGCGGCGGGGGTGGGTGGGGTGGGGAGGGGGTGAGAATTGAGGGGCGGAGGGGGTAGCGGGCGGAGAAAGATTAGAGGCGGAGGTGAAGGAGAAGAAAAGGAGGAGGAGAAGCTGAAAAAAAGAATAGGGCACGAGGAGAAGGGGTGGTTAAGGGGTGAAGAAAAGGGTACAGGAGAGGAGTAGGGTAGTAGAGAGCGGAGTGTAGTGTGGCAGCATGCAGTTCATTCTCTTGGATAGACGAATATCTAATCCCTACATAGTACAGTGTGTACTGACTGGAAGGCACACCAATTACTCAGAACCAATGACTTAGAATGCCATACTGCTCTTCGTGATTCGTGCATCGGTCCAGTTAGTCGGTCAGAAGAATCCTTTGGTTTCCAATTCGAGTCTATGTACGGACTGTACCCGGCCAACCTACGTTACTCTAGAGCAAGTACCTGCCGGTACTCGATGAACCTTGCAATTGAACACCCGTATGAATTAGACAACTTAAATATCGCGGCTGTTATGTGGGGAGTCTCGGATTCTTCAGGAGTTAGTGTTCTTATGCAAGGGTTTCCCCTTCCCATGATGACTTTTGGCCCCAGCTCCTAGTCATCGGAATATTACTCGCCGGTAATGGATAGGTGTACTTTACCCATCTCAATTTTTACAGGTTGGCTCAATGTTGAGACATCGACCAATACCTAATCAAGTACATCTTTTCGTACCCTTATACCCTTCTTTTGGAAGCGAAACAAGTCTCCGATGTCAAAGTGTATGGGTGCCAGTACATATAACAGATTTGAATGTGTTCTTGATGGAATTTGTGGGGATAGCAGTGCCGCCTGGTACGATGGATCCAGTCCAGCTAGCCTCCTCAAACGCATCATGCGCTTTGCAACAAGCAAACACGCGTACAAGGTGCCTACAGCAGACCGGCTTAATTAGAGGACCAGACATCGAAACCCAAGTGGACATTATCATCAATCATTATCCCCATACCAATTTCATTCCTCTGCAACCCCGATATTTGGCTCGGGAGTTAACTTTCGGTTCTCGGCTTCTCAACGGGGTAACTCAGGCTTCTACATACGAAAATCAATCCTTGCCCTCCATCGATGATCATCGAGGTTCAGGATCAATCCCAGATAGCATTTTTACCCGCGCACCCGAACATTCATGAAACGTGACTTCCGATATCTAAAGTTCCAGCAACGAACCCCTTATTTCTTAACTCAGGTCTTCTGGAAATGTTTCCAGTCAGTAATTTTGGCCCAGGATATACGGCTTTTAGAGGGATATATATAATCGATCTTTGCTTGAATGAGACATTGAAACGTACATGATGTGTTCTAGAAGTATTCACCTCAACATTTGTTGTTACTTATGTATCTACCTATAAGCTTGGTCATCGGCTCTTTATTCTAGGACTCTCACCGAGCTCCGAGTCTCCAGATGAGAAGGCTTCGAAGACGTCCTTCCAAAATATTACCATATGTTTGGAATACAGCTGATCTAGCTATTTAGGTTTTATGCAGATCAAATTATTATCGTAACGTCAAAACACCGCCGTCTTGTGGGAAATGGTATTCTAGGTACACACTCGCATCATGGCTCAATTGTTATAAGACGCCACAAGAGGTACCGAAATAGCATCACCGCTTTAAAACGGTTTTCCAGGGATGTCATCCTTCAGTCTGAAACGTAATGCCCTAGCTAGCGTTACCCGGCTTTGGTTGCGACTACGATTGAGCAGTTGACAGGGCTTGATTCGCGTCTCCTACGCGGCCTGGATGTGGGAGGTGTTTCTTATTTATTATCTTTGGATTTAGCACGCATGAAGTATTGACCTTCTAACTATGGACCGGACTGTGTGCTACCTGTTTTCACGCGTCGTGAAGAGGCGAACTTCAGCTGCAGCTTAATTAATCCCAGCAGAGCCCGAGGGGTATCTGAAACAACTATTGGAAGCCTTCGATTGGCTTCCATGAGCTACATATACTACTGCATTTACAAAATATTAAAATATGTTATTCCCTTTCCACTTTCTTAAAAGAAACAATCATGAAGGTCCTAAAGAGGGAGTTACGAATTGTTCTTCTAATTATAAGCTTATATATATGCCTCTCCTAATTAAGCTTCGATCAACTTTTATAACCATGCTAGTACTTACAACAAGCTTCTTTAGCTGGAGAATAGGCCTGAGGCTCTTCTTCAGTTATTCCTACCCGCGTTCGAGCAAACAAAGGGATCTAGAGCAATATGATCTGTCAGCAGCACATTTATTGACCCGGCATAGATGGCTTGCGACCTCACCTCTATCTAGTCTGGACAGTTATGTTAGAACCAGTCAAGAAAAGGCTATCCACACTCTAAATCGAACGTCATGTTCGAGTTAAACGCCTATCCAGGGGATAACATACACCAAGTCGGTTTTGCAAAATAAAATAAAAAAGGTCTATCCTAATCGAGAGAAAAATACCGGGGTCCTTGTAATTGCGCAATTGCATGCATGCGGTTTTAAATTCTTCTGGAACATTTGGCTAGCTGGTCAGGCCATTCGAATTTCACTCTGGAGCCGGAGTCGTACAAGTGAGACATGTGCATACATGGGAGCCTATGCATGGTGGTTCCCTGGTATCAATATATATAGTCAAAAGTCCACAGGCGCAGACTACTTCAACCTCCGTTTGTCCGTGGTAAACCGAGAACTAGTTTTCAGTGCCATTGGCACTTTCTCGTATTGCGAACGACAAAGCTTCTTACTTTCCAGTCCAGCTCTCCTACTCGCATTTAAGGCTTTTAGTTAAAAACACTACATGCACATGCTAACACCCACTTCATGAGCTGGACCGTGATGGTTACTTTAGAATCCCAACCGGGAGGGAAAAGAGCTGGATCGCCCAAAAGATCCGGCGTTAAGTATTAAAACTTAGCCATGTTCAATAAAGCCGTTGTGGTATTAAAGGTAACCCCGGTAAATTTAAGGACAAAGTATCTTAAGCTTCTGCCTATCGATTGAATGACCTACTAATTCGTAAAATATCGTAAGATAACCATATCTACACCCGGCCGGAGAATTATTACCAATTAACTTTGATTTCTGTCAGATCAGTTCATCTATCTATGGAAATACATAAAAATTAAGACATATAGGCAATTTACGGATAGTGTCAATATAAAAACCTTATTGGAATGCTCCGAATATTCCGGAGAGTTTCTTTCGGAACCCAGCTTCCGAAGATTGATTGCCCAATATTTAATTCAGTTATAAGTGGCCCACTCTAATCCATGTGATCATGATCATGGGACGAGGCGAATTTTACTGGGGGAAGAGAAGAATATTTTAGCTGTCATTATATATAATTGTCAACGGTAGTAATTAGGCATCAACAATTGTGCCTACGTCAAGTTCTGATTCTCTACACGGAGATTGTTCCTTGTTGTTATGGTAGATGTAGTCCCTACAGTAGGTCTTGAACCGCGTGGACTACCTATGAGTCATGGCTTACTAGCACTATAAAGTGTGTATTGTGGTGGCTGTTTATAGCACGGGCCTCTAGGAATACTCAAACCCAGTCTTTCTACCAATAGCCTTGAATTTCGATTTTCCTTAACTGAAAAATCATTCTTCGACACTGGCAGAAAAACATTTCACTTTTATGAACTGACAACATTGTGAATAACATTGGCTATATACAGCGACAAACATTTACTTTAACTACTAAGCTTCAACAGGGTGTATTCAAGCGGGGTGTGTGATATAAATCGGTGGTTCCAACAGGCGCTACATCATATGTACGTAGGTACATACAATGTGGAAAAATGCGATGTAATTTACACCATCAGTGATACGGCATTGTGTGAGAATACCGAATTACATAACTCCACATACTGTCAGAAATACCGTAAAAAAGCAGAATGCTGACGAATCCCGCTGGAATTTCACTAATCTTTCTGACACTGTAGTTTTTGAACACATATGCTCCCTATCATGATCATTAAAAACTACGAATCTTCACTCGCGAACAAGTACATATACCGTCTGGTAAAAAAAATTTAAATACAAAATAACAAATCTTTTCCTTCTTGTCTGATTATTCCTCGTCGATAAACAACGCTGAAACTCTCAAACCAGGTCGAATCAGGTCTAGTTCAGGACAAACCCTGATCTGATGCCTACATCGAGTAAAAAAGGAATAGCTATATGTACCGGTCCGCTATCACTATTACAGCGGGTTTCATAACCCTAGGCTCGAGAGAGCAAAACGTAACATACTTAGTAAAGTAAAGCAAGATTACTCCATTAGGCGACTCGAGATACTGGCTTAGTTATCCCAGTTTAAAGTTTCGGCCGGATTGCCTACATGTAGTTAATGAGGCTATTGGGATTACCTACATGTAGATACATGTGGTTAATAGCTTGAAGAGTCCCTCTATGTGCCACGACGCTTCACTGAGCCTAGCATTATGAAACCCGCTGTAAAGTATATATATATATTGTATCAGTCCTGCGCAGCTGCCAACATGACCGGCATTTGCATCTCTTTTAGAAAGATAATACACCGCTCGAGGATACCGCACCTCGAAAGCTAGTGAAGTCGGTAATTCAATGATTTTAAAAGCTGGTCTTGAAATTTCTTACTTCAAACAGGTGTAGAGTCGGTACTCTGAAACTTAGAGAGTTCAAAGATGGCTCCAGACTGCATGTAGCGTGTGATGGTGTGTGCACGTGCGAGTGATGAGTTGTGAAGCTTCGTGTACTATAGTTCCTTCTCGTTTTTATTAGGTAATAGTTACATGTCTTGGCACTTTCCCGCCCAGAAATCTCTCTAGCTTAGTAGCTACTGTGGTTGGAAACTTATGTGCATGTCCTATTCCTCCTCCGATTTGGGATAACTTTTGTGAGACCGCAACGTTACTCTACTAACGTCCACAATCGACACCAAGACTCGCTTCGTCACCCCAAGATGGCCTGGCTGAACCTTGTACTTTCCCCCTAACCTAAGATACAAATTAAAACACCGGAAACAACTCCATCCTACAAGCAAACAACGTGTCCACTGCATGTTCCAGAACACCCATCAACCAAATTAAAGCGAAGCTTGTCAACGGTCTGTCCCGACCATAGATCGCCCCTCTACCCAGATTAAACCCGCAAAATCCCGAGATTCCGAGACCCCGCTCTGCGTGAAGTTTATGCTCCAGTCATGGGATCCTGGAGGTTAATCATGCAACGATCGAAAGCCCGATTATCCCTGTCTTCCCGTAAGATTGTGGAGTGTTCTGTTGTCTTTGTCGATCCACGATGGGTTTATATGCGCATATGCTCGACGCATCAGGTATTTAGAACATGGGGCACACGCGTGGGCATGCAGACAATATAAAGGTCTATCATACCCCGTGACAGGTACCCTTCTGTTAAAGACTTAGTATGGAGCCAGAATCGAAGTTGAGTACTTTGGCCCCGATCTTCATCTTCCCGATGATGTTTCGAGGTTTGTTTCATGACACATCAACATATGCCTCTCAGGCTCTTTGCTTCTCGGAGCGTCTCCCGGAAAAACCTCAGAGAGTAAAGACGTATGGCTCGAGACATCTTGGGGTAGATTTTTCTTTTCAAAAAACGATTTTTAGTAGAAAAACAACGCCCCCAACAGTCCTTGACCTAAGCAGCAAACACAGTTTAGATAGGTCACAGGTCTTAGGCCCTATGATCACGTGAACCGATTGGGGCTTTTTTATAAAGGGAGTTTGACACATCTACTACCCAAGGTGTCTCTCGATCTCGGCCCACAAAGAATTATTTGACCCCCCATCATCCCGAATTTTGAGACCATTGCTCCATGTTAATCAAGATCAAGCATCTAAGGTTTCTTGGGGCGAATTTAACCTAGAAATATGTCACATGAATGGAGGTAGGTGATACTTACCGCAAGGGCCAATTAGCAAAGCAGTTTCTATTGCTGACTTCTGCCGGTATTCCTGGTTCGAGATCATTATACGCCAAGATTTTGCGACATATCAGACCCCAAACAATCATGGAATCCAGAGTCCTCCGAGAACTTATAGTTGTTTGGCGTTGAAGGTAATATTTCGCCTATCTTCAGGCCTGTATAAAAGTGCGACATACTCGTTGGCTCCGGGCTTGCCATCACAACGCGATTGGTAGCCAAAAGAGATATGAAAATGAGCTGTGCACATCTGGCGGAAGTTATACAACGAGAACAGTCCTACGTAGATAGACTCTTTGAGGATACCTAACGCCTTAGCATTAGATAAGGTGCTGTTCCTACACATAGATGCAAGTACATCTTCCTTCAACCGAGACATCCTTCAGGTCGGGGGAATAGCTTAATTTGAAAGAAAAATATCAAAATCGAAATTCGAGACGTATCAACCAACGAAAACACACCCAATGTGGGTCATTATCGCGAAGGTGAAGGCATCTATAAGAGACATAAATAATAGATTATGTGAAGTAAGAGCTAGCAGTGCTTAGTAGTACTACATGTAGTGTGGTCCATGAGCCAAGCCGGCTCGAGCTTTGGGCTCGAGCTTTCGGCTCATTCACAACGAGCCTTACTACCCAACCAGTGTGGCCCACGAGGACGCTCGAGGCGAGGTTTGGGGGTGTCCTCGAGGTGCCTCATTCTCGTTGACCTCTGTCCTTATCTGTCCTCGAGGTCCGGCACTGTTGTCCTTGAGGACGAAAAAATGACCCGGTAGAGAAAAAATCTTAAAATGAAAGGTATATTTTATTAATGACCTCATTCCATTAGTCCATATTATGTGTGTATTATAGCCAAGAACTGTCCTTGGAACTCCACGAGCCTCCTTGTCCTTTTGGACCACTGTCCTCGTTTGTCATCGAGGACATATCCTTGAGGCAAGGACACAAGGATGCTCGTCCTCGTGGACCACACTGTATCCAACGAGCCCGAGGCAGCTCGAGCCTTTCTCGTGGCTGGCTCGAGCCGGCTCATGAGCCTAATTTACTTATATTTTGATATGTCCCGAAGAGTTGTGGGAACTTTAAACATAGGCTTATCGTCTTCTTGGGGAATCTGGCCCCTCAAAGTGCAGATAATGGTTCCGTGGAGCTATTTTTTCTGCTCTTTGATCTTGAACTTCGTCAACTCCTGATCTTGGCAGAAGTGTTTCCTGTTATATCGATCATTGGCCACCGGCTCGAGCCTTTTCATGAGCCTCTACCAAAAGCTCGAGCCGGTTCATGGACCACACTAAACTGTGCTTACCTTTGTTTTGTCCAGCGTATTCAATAACTAGATCTACACAGGCCCTAAATCCTTTTCAAGAGATGATCACTAAACTTCGGAGATTTGGGGATTGCCATACCGATATGAGTGGATGATCACGCTTCTAGTTCCCCGGACTCCAAACAGTCAGCTCAGCTAGTCAGCCCAGAGTTGACAGTGATGGGCTGTGATGGTGCCTAAGAGCTAATTTAGAGTTAAAGTGCGTGCGGATGATAAAACGTGTAACTTTCGATGAGGTTTTGTTTTGGTGGAAATCCCAAGAGAAGGGGGGGTATATGGAATATATCGGAGGTCGATCTCCCAAAGATCTGAGAACATCCAACCACCCGCAAAATGGCCCTCAAAGATCTGAGGCAACTATGCACGTTTCACTTCGCTCTCAGTGAATCTTTAATCCCCCCCACGAAAAAAGCATCCGACAGTCACCCACGAGATATCGAGTGATAATCCATGACTAAACACAACTACCACCAACCCTCGCGTGTATCCCAGGAGAACGATCCCTAGATTCTCCGTGACAGCGCTAGGACTTCTATTTAACTCTATCATTTTTTATATTAATTCTTTATACTCCACATCTTACTGGCCATTGCTAGGGATAAACTAGTTACTAGGCAGACCGATTCACAACCCAGCGCCCCACAAAGTCGAATTTAAAATCATTACCCACACCCAACTCCCAATGAGCATCCCGCGGATACCAAGAATAGAACAGATCTAGGATTCATGGCAAATACGTGGAATCGATCGGGATGACATAGACCGAGGCCCGAATTGGTTGTGGAACGATCGCGGAATATTCTCGTAGCCTAGCTACCTAACCTCCGCATACTTAAGAATCCCGACAACTGTCCCCTTCGCACGTTCCCCAGCTTATTTCCTCGATCTCAATATGTTGGGTGGCATGAGCTGAGGATGTATATGCCAACTAATGCAGGTACCGATTTCGTGGTGGAATTTAGTTGCACGGGATGTCACTCGGATTTGGGGTGAGTAATGATTATCATTTCCGGTTTCGGCGTGCGTGGGGGGATGGCGTGAGGTTGAACAGTTATCATACGTGAACGCATGTTTCCATTAAACATCCCAAGCGAGTGAAATGAATCAAGCATTTGCCCATAAGCGAAAGTTTCGGAACCGGATAAGATAAGTTCCCACCGATTTGGAACAGGTCCAAACTGTGGTTCTGGCCAGATTGCTCCACGATAATTGGTCTCTGAGCCAACTTGTCACGACATGTCAGAAAATAACTATGGCTTGGTATATGACGTGTAATTATAGAAATAAAAATGGAAACACCACGTACAGCTCAAGTATCATGATATTTTACTAATTGTGCAGTACATCCTAAATGTCCCGGACTCTCTCGAGAACAATCATGTAACACTCACTGGTTGTACGGGAATATTTACCCAAGAATTAAACTCATGATGATTCAGAAATGTCGGATGCTGCGTGCTTGTTGTTTCGAGTCTGTATTCTCCATCGGCTTCAAGCCGCTCTGAGAAACTCGAAGCTCAAAATTTGTCACTCGGGTATATTTGTCATCACATTCGGAGGGGTTCTATCACTCATCATCAATCACTCGTAAACCAGTACCAACACAGGTACATGTATGTGCCTAATATTGCCTAGGCACAGAATTTTGGATTATCGTACGTTACACGGCGCTTAAACCCGCTACTACAGAACAACACAGTCATCACATGTAGAGCATGTACCTACCAAGGTACGTGTAGAAGTATGTACATGTAGCTATAGCTATAGATCAAGCTAGGTTATGGGCGAGGCCTCTAGAGCTTGTACAATTTCATGTACTTGACCGAATTGTCACATCTTCATCTGATCTTCATCTGCGTGAAGATATTCGAAACGTAATGATAGGTCCATCTCATCAACTTAATATGCTTGTTATTTCCTGCACCCATCGTTATTCTTGTGCATATATCTTACGTCGCTCACAGATTTATGAATTTCAATACAGTAAGAGAAATATAGTTACCCCCCACCGGTGTATACAAAAGCGTCAACACGTACCTAATGTGCCTTCTGCCTTCCTGTAGCTATGCCTTGAGATGAATACATATGTTCCACTCACATGCACTCCCACTCAACATTCCACCCAATATAATTTAAGGATTCTTATCAGATTCCCACATCACCACACTCGGAAAAACCTTCTTTCCACATAAAAAGCAAAAACTGCTCACAAAAATTTCTCCGTCCCCTGATTGAAAATTTTCATATCACCCCTCTAAACGCACCCAGCAAAGATTTGATGTTCCCGATTAGTATACTGCATGCGGTAAACGCCGCATTACAGCGCTCGCTAGAATGCATACCCGGTCACATCTTCGCTTCTGCGCCCTCCGACTTAATCGTAATAACTCCGTAAAGTCGCGCCTTCCTTGTCAAATCATGTACGATCCTCCACAAAATTGCACCTTCGTTCGAATCACCGGCTTGCGGTCCGTTGGAGGGGAAGCCTGAGCATGCGAGTACGAGTGCAAGTGTTCAGATCCAGACCACCGCCACTCTGCACGGGAATTGGGGAATATGCCAAGTGGTATTTGCGTTTCTGCAGTGCATTGTCCGGTTACCTGTTTTTCGATTAGGTATCTGTTGTGTGAAGTGGAACGAGAGGGGTGTTTGTGAACTCTAGAGACGCACAAGGCAAGGTTTTTTTTTTTTTTTTGACCCGCCGGATAATTTTCGTTTTTACTCTAGATTTATGTCGTACAAAGATGTTGTGAACATGTTCTATCTTTCTGGATCAAATTTCGGGTTACATATGACGGTGATACCTACATGTTTATTTCTTTTCTCCCCGGCATTGAGAGTGGCATGTCCTGTTATTTCGGGTGAATGGCAGTTACCAAAGTCAGCATCGTACTCGGCCCGACAGAAGTAACACACACAAACTCACTTTGTACGTTATAATTTACACAAGGCAGAAACAATGCCTCCAAGGTCCCTCAAGGTGTAGACAAACAACCTTTCGATTATGCTCGCCGTTGCGGGCTGCATAAGGCTCAAATTACAATCCCGAAACCCCCTGTCAAGACTGACGGAGAGTACCAGCATAGGAATTGCGAGGGGAGGGGGAAATGCGAATTTCCTCACGATAGAATTGCTAATTCTACTTCATCATGGGAGTTTTCAATCAAGTGCCGACCTCAAACTTGACAAACAGCTGTGTGCCGCGAGTACTCTACACACTAGTGAACCTTTGCTGCTTGCTGATGTGCACCGCGACACCTGTCACTGTGAATATATTTAGCCATGTATCTATCTGTCCATAACCAATAGAATGACACACGTCCCCTTTTGATTCGAAAATTGATACTCACGATAACTCCTTAAAAGAGAGAGCGTAACTTATAGATTGGCGAGGTTGCATGTGAACAAGGAACTTGAAGTTACAGAGTAGAAATCTCCAGAGTGTATAGAAGACACCTTCAAGGGCGCCCCCTGCTGTTTCCCTATTGGTGGACTCCAGAAAGGTTCCTAGCAAGTACGTACATACATGCAACGTTGCAATCAGGCTTGAGACAAAGACTGCCGGGGTCATGTTCCAACCACTATCTATACATGAGGTTCCTCTGCGAGAATCTAGGCAAGGGGGGATTATGTTTTCTATGACATCGTTTGGAAGTCATGTCCCAAGCATCGATAAATCTCCTATCAGCCAGGACTTCATTCTCTTAGCCAGATACTCGGATGGTTATCAACACACCTCCAAAGTCTAACGGATGGTTGAACTCCGGTCAGGTGACAAGGACTGCGTACGATAACGACTACGGCTCCATCAGTATGATGCGGGGTTACGAGTACCCGCAGCTACATTGATGAAAGCTCGCGGTAATGGAAGTAGCACTGATTGAGGGGTGTCTATCATAGATAGAGATTTAGAGAAGCTAGGCATTTGTGTGGAGCGAAGATATCGCGGGGCCTGATATAGCTGGCAGTTCGAGACCGAATTTAGCCTGATTGTACCTCGCTACGGTACTTGCCTCTCTCTGAGTTCAAGAGCTTGATAGGAATAGATAGTCAGTCTCAATGTTATGAGCTGTTGGACTGAGCCTGTGGGTATATCGATGATACGAACCGGGGCCATATCTAGATCGAGTCTCGAGAGTTTCGAGAATGGTAGATAATTTTAATTGTAGATGTGTACATTGATAGATTGAAACAGATGAGAAGAAAATTCGATAATGGAGTCTCTAACTTACATGTATGTAGTGAGATATGTTCACTGTGTAGGTTGTTTGCTTGGTCCCGGTGTCGCACCTCCGGGCAGCTGTTTGTGGTTGAGAGCTTCACGCGAGCTCAAACCCTAACCCGCGTAAAGTATTCATGACAGGTCACTCGAGATCAGGTGACAGCATTATTCAAATATGGCTAGATATGATTCAAAGCCACAGTAAGCGCCACATATTACACCAGATCTCGATCACGTTACCTGCCAGACCCTGTTTTCGCCTCAAACCAGCCCACCTCTCTGTTGGGTTAGGCCCATTACGGCGCGTCATTTCGCCCATCATCGATTCTGGTGAGAATTTCGATCTCATCGAAGAGCATCGACAAACCACACGCCCCAGGCTATCCCTTACGAAGCACAAGACAACGTCGGTTCAAAATCGCTAAGGGGTGGCAGAGCAAGCTGTTCTTTTTTAAATACCAACCCTACCGCTCTCCAACCTCAAAATAATGTCGAATACTCGAAACGACGACGACGAACAACTACCCAACGCGGCCTCTCCAACAAATATTGATCACGTTACCGAGGAGGAAGAGGAGGAGGACGACTACGATGATGAGAACGAGGATAATACTGACAACGTTGAGGGTGGACCGCAGCAGCCATCTCCTACAATAGTTCCCGCACCGCTGATGCAAGTGGAGTCGTTAGTCGCTGGACGCGCACGACGTTCTACTGCTGGAAATAGGCTTGCAACTTTACTACACCAAGAGGCTGATGCGGAGGATACTCTCTTCTTGGAAGATGAGGATGACGTTGAATTTGCAGCCGGAGAGGTTGAGGACATGTCTGACGTTCAACTGGAATCGTCTAGCGAGGATGAGGACGACGCTGGGCCTCCTACAATGAACGAAAATGGCGAACAAGTTGATGAGGATATGGAAGGAGAGAGAGAGTTGCAACGGATTGCGAAGGAGGCTCACGCAGTGAAGAAACGTAGAGCTGGGGAAGCATTTCTGAAACCGAGAAAAAGAGTCACGATTAAGGATCCGTCTACAACTACATCTACAAATGCTGGCGCTTCAGCACAAGATTCTACAGAAACTCCTTCTACGGACTCGTCTTTGCGACCGAGGAAAAAATCGGAAAGAATATCATGGTTACCCCAGGACGTTTACGCTGTAAGAGCATCAAGTCGCACATTATCTTTACAGAATAGAACAGAAACGATGAAACGTTTAGAGGAATCTGAAAAGCGACGATTACGCACTATTAAATTAATGGAAGCTGCTGCCGCGAAAAAGGATAAAACAAACCCGCGGGTGATGACGCAAGAAGATAGGCTACGGGAAGCGAAGCTTACTGAAGAAAAAAATCTGAAGAGTTTGAATAGGTGGGAACAAAACGAAGCTTACAGGTTGGAGGAGCAACGGAAGAAACTTGCAGCGTTACAGAATCGCCGGCTGGTGGGGCCTGTCGTTACGTTCTGGAGTGGGACGGCAGAATGGGATGAGAAAGGGAAATTGATGAGAGTTGGCAAAGGTCTCATTGAGATTATTGATGGCAACGACGAAGGAGAGGGGAAGAAGGGTAAAGGCAGAGATGAAAAGAGAAAGAGCAACAAAGCAAGATCGACGGCGATAAGTAAAGCCAAAGGGAAGGAGAAGGCAACCCCCGAAGGTGAAGTTGATTCTTCTTTGCAAGAGGTGCGGCAGCAGGACGCGAATATAATGCCTCACTCTGGAAAAAATTCGAACCTCCCGTCTCCACAACCACCACTTTCCACAAGCCCGTCTCGACCGACAAGTTCGACTTCGGATAATCAAAACCCCGCACTTTCGTCCGGACCTACGCTGCTAGCGCCAACTCCCCCGGACGCGGCCTCGCAATCACAGGTTATCAGGAGCAATGGCGCTTTGCCAATGCTCTTGGAAGGAATACTGGAGTATGCTGCTTTGCCGGACCCTTCGGAAACTAAGGGACCACCTCCGGTAAAAACTACAGGCGAACCAGCAGGCGAATCAACAACTCCCACACCTCTTCAAGCTCAAGTCGAACCCCCGAGACCGAAAACCGAAGCATCTACTAGGAATCTAGTGGTGCTTGAGAATTTTGATGCGCCGGATGTTCAGACCAGGGAGGGGGTAATCAAGGTGCTTTTTCCCAGCGAATCAAAGAGAAGTTGGCGTGAGTACTCCATATTTTCCCCTTCCACTTTGTCGTTTCAAGTTGGTATCGTCATCAAGTTTTTTTTTATATTCCCTCGCTCGTTTCGTGCATTGCATGCACATTCCCAATTCCGGGTTCCTATAGTGCGATCCGGCCCGAGTCTAACAGGGGTATAACTCTCCTTCGAGAATACATTGGACTTTCCTGTTTTCATTTTCATTCATTTTTGAGTTTTGTCAAAAATCTCTACCTTGTACTTTTTTTTCCCTTGATATTTTCACCTTGCACGTTACCTGTCTCGGCATGTGTTTTGTTTTTACCAGCAATTGCTTTGACCCGGAACGTGTTCGCTCGGTGCTTTGCGCATTTCTCGGTTATCACTAAGCGATGGCATGGCCTGCTAGCTTGCTTGCATAATAACTTACTCCTGACACCTGTGTGCCTCTAGCTGCCCCCAAACAAACCTGTGTCATAACGCATCAACCGGCGAAATTTCGCGATCCGACCACGGGGATGCCATATGCATCTTTGCAGGCATATAGAGAGGTGCAGAATATCCTACATGGCGAGATCCAATGGAGTTGCCTCTTGGGAGCATACGTTGGGAGGCCAAACACAGCTGCTAAGGGAGTCCCGGACGGATTCCTGAAAGAGTCAGTTGCGGAGTAGAGCTGTAGTGGTGGTGGTGGTTATGGTGGGTGGGCGATCAAGCTGCTGTGATTGGCCAAGGGTGCAGAAGCCGTTGTTTGGTCAATCACTACGCTTTGCCTGTAAAGTACCTTGGTGTGGTTGTTTTGGGACCTTCTCCTCTTTCTATGTACTGATATTGCCCATACTATGCTGCTGCTGCCTGTGCTACTCGCGTATGTACATGTATGTAGCGTCGGTCTGGTTTCCTATACGTGTACAGTGTACTTCATGTTAGAAGCGGGCGCCGCCGATTGCGGGGAAAAGAGGGCATCATCAATCTATCTTGTGTAAACGGGTGTTGGGAGTTAAGGTAGCTTAGCTGTCGGGACGAGGAAATGAAATAAAAGTTTGGATATCAAGGATTAGAATTTTTTTTCTTTCGCGTTCTTGTGTTTTCTGGGTTTTTTATTTTTCCAAGCCGCGCCGCGGCATCGATATCTGTACTTTACGAGGTCGTACCTACAGCAAATTCGCAATGCGGGATCGGCCACTTCGAATCGATGCCGTCCGTAGTTTAAAAAAAAAAAGGTTCCCGCCAGGTTTGTTACCGGGATCTCCTGAGGTTTCAATGGCTTTTTTTTTTGCTTTTGTTCTTTGCTTAAATTTGTTTTTTTCCTGCGAAAATGATATCTACTTTTGTACTAGAAACTGCTAGTATCGTAGCTAGCTGGCTGGCTGGGGGAGCTCGGAGACACGACATATCACACCAAGATTGTTCAACATACATGGCTACACATGTCGAGAAACCTCAGCTGCCATGCCTGTAGAGTTAAGTAAGTATATGCACTCTATTTCAACGCAACATAGGCGCTAGATGCATTGCCTATCTCATACTCATGTATCTAGGTAGAGTATCTAGGTATCAATCTCACTCAATCTACGTACCTAGTTACTTTAGCATGTAATCCATAAAATGGCACATATGTACCTGAAGCCCATCATCTATTCTAGATACTCCACGGTAGGAAGAAATACAGGGCCATCTTTAATTTTGTGAGATGATCCAAAGCAAGGTGTGCCCTACATTAGTTTTTGGCAGAGGCAAAAAAAAAAAAAAAAAAAAAAAAAAAAATGTAACCAGGGAGAGGGGAAAATTGACGGAAGAATTGTATAGGCCCCAAGTGTAAAGTGAAAAAGAAAAAAAATATGTAGCTAGAAAGTCTAGAAGAGAAAGGGGATGTTCAAGTAAACGTGGAAGAAAACCTAGGGCATGGAGTGCTCGATGATAGTGTAGGTTTCTATTTTTTTGTTTTTTTGAACATTCCTACTAGCTAGACAGGTAAAACTTTAGCTTTATTAGTAAAAAGTGACAATCATGGCCCAACGTTCGGCAGCGGGTGGTGGGAGGGAAGGGAAGGGCGAGCGTTAGGCCAGGGAAATGTTCGGAACTCGGGAGATGTTCGTTGATAGTCAGTTTGTCGATATTCTGGGGCTATGGAACGGTATGGGGGCGCCAACCATCCGTCCAGCCTCATAAAAAGTGATCTACCTTTCTTCAATCCATACCGGGTGGGGGACGAAACGAAACAAGTATGTCGTGCCTTATCTGTTTCGAAAAAGTCCGGGGGGGGTATAGTAAGTGATGGTACATACCCCGAGATTTCCATGTTGAGCGCGCGACGAATGACTGGCCGAGCTAGAGTTGCGGAGAGACGCTATAGATTGTAGAAGTGATCTATGTTTCTTACAGGCGGTGAAGGTGGGTGAGGTGATCTTGAGAAACAGAACCGTGGATGCGTATGGATTTCCCCTCATTCTCATAGCCACTTTTCTAATTCTCCTCCATGGATACACCGGATCTTCTTTCTTCTGCTTTTCAGACACATCATGAAGCCCCCTTCCCTTGGAGCTTTCAATGCCGGGAGTTGATCGTTTGAAGGGAGGTAGTTGGCTCTAGCCAGAGAGCTTATCTTTGGGTCGTCTGGTTTTCGAAGGAGGCAACGGGGGAGGATAATTATCACATCCCATATCCAGACCATCCGTCCTATACTCCATCCAGAGAGCGACAATGCAAGTGTTCATGCGTGCGTATTCTAGTGCGTTGGCTGAGCCCTCTCTTTGCCGAAGCCCGTAACCTCACTCAACTCACACTTTTGAAAGTGGTGAGAAAATGAACCCCCTCTTTCTATCTTTTGCGTGCTTGCCTGGAGAATTGGTCCCTCTTAATGCGCTGCTTACTACTTTACCCCCCCCCCCCCCCCCAATGACCAATCATTTAATTACCTGTCATTCACACGCGTGCACGCAAGAAAAGCTTGCGTCTTTTGAGTTTGCGTCTCAGGTGCGGGCATATGTAAAGGTATTAAAAATAAATTTGTATTTTATAATAAACCATAAAAAGTGAGGAGAGACAATTGTCGCGCGGGCGCACGGGTATGGTGGAGGTGGAGGCGGATGCGGATGTGGAGATAGATGACTACTAGCCTCAAGTATATCACGGAAGAAGAAACAAGGAGGAGCACTCAAGCTCTAGTATATTCATAGGAACACTATAATGTTGGATGCCCAGCCTCTGAGGTTACATTTCAGCCATGAGAAGGTGGAGGATTGATTTTAAACGTGATCCATGGCCATGGCACAACATGCGCAGTACACAAACTCCGGGGAAGCGAAGGGGGGCGAAGGCTGCTCAAAGCAATTGTTTGAATATGTTTTCTTTGTTATTAATTGTTTCGCAGCATGATCTCGATGATTCCTATCGATTCTCGAGTCACCTCTTTTATTTTTAGATGTGCCTGGTACCTTGAGATGGCCTGGCTCACTACTCTACATGTAGCTACAACATCGCGATGGGCCTCGATTCGAATTCACTAACAGAGAGGTAAACGCGTTCGCAGGGGTTTTTAGAGAGCTCGAGAGCCGATGAACTTGGGCGATTTTTGAATGATTGGCCCAGAAGCGATCTTGTCCGCGGGATGCTGAAGCTTCAACCCTTTCTATGAATAAACGCCATTATGAAAACGGTGTGCGTTAGATCTATTAAATACCTGAAAGATCCTACCACTGGTCGGTACTGGTCTAGAGCAGTGCCTACTGCTGTACCTACTTCCTATTGCTCATCGTGTCTACTCGCGTACCTCACTATCCATCCCATCCACGTACTCTTGCCACTGTAACATCCCTGGAAGCTTGTCCAGAGGCGTTGAAACAGAAAAAGGCCTGGGAGGGGGGAATAAAGAAGCAGAGCTAGAAGCCAAGTAGGGAAATCAGAAAAGCTGGCCTGGTAATACGATATCTCACCACTTTCTCCCGTTCCCGCAATTCCTATTCACTATCATCTTCATCTATTATCCCTTTACTCTCACTCGCTACCGCAAACGCAAGACCGCCGGTCAGTACCAGTAATAGTAGAGTACATTCCTCGGTCACCTCCTCTCACATTTTACCTGCTACCGGCTTTTACATAGAGCTCGTACATACGTACATACCAAACAGCTTTGGGTGCCGTGTTCGCTGCAAAATCGAAGCACCAATCCAGCACGTGGGGCCGAGAACATCTGTCTCGTCTGTCCGGAGAGGGTGGGAGAAAAAAAAGAAGAGTTACTCTACATACATATTCTACAGGCGTACAGAATTGCCCTCCCCCCCCCCCCCCCCCCCAGACGCAGGCGCGCTCACACACCCTCTTGGACGTCCACAATCGTCATAGGCAGTGTCAAATAATTATCTTGCCGCAGACTTGCTTGCAGTCGTTGCTCTAGTACTTGCTAGATACTGCTTCTGTCTGGATCAATTCCAGAGACCACCCCAGAACACGACTGCCGAAATCATCAATAGCACGAGCTTTTCTTAACGGCAAAGCTACCCTCCCTCTTTTTTCCGGGATACCAATATCCACCCTGCTTGCCTGCCCTAGTTAACTTGACGCCCTCAAATAATAAAAAATATAATACTACTACCTACGGCACCACTTCTCCTCCTCCTTTCGTCATTATCACAATTGCAATTTACAGTTTGCACACATCATATATCATCAAAGGTCTCCCACATCCCTTCCGTCTTCTCCAACAATATTATATATCGGTCCTCCTTCTTCATTCTCCACCCTCACCTTCAAGCTGGTCCCCATCGATCTTGAAACTCTCATTCCTCCAACCAACACAACTATATTACTTTTCGTTGAAAGGCAATTGTGATCCATACGAAAGCCAATTCCACCCAAGAAAGGGAGAGAAAAAAAGACTCAGCCTCTCTACGCATTATCTTACTTCCCTGCGGCGGCGTTTCAATTATATCCCGTTTTCGGCAACGTAAGCACCAACAGCTGAACCACCAGCACCAGCGACACCACTCAGCGCACGGGACTCTCAGATCGAACACCAAAAGATAAGGAAGCACAAGGAACTCTCAGACAAAAAACCCGGATCTGTATCTTCCAATAAGCGTTTTCGCTCTTCATCGAAAACAGAGAGGGAATTATCTCTACATACACACGGCGCGCGATACCTATCCCCCCGCACCCCTGCCTAGCTTTCCGAGCTTAGCTAGCAGTACGACCTGCGCCTGCGGTCGATATCACCGAAAAAGCATCAGGGGACAAGTCCTTGATTGTACCCTTACAACCTATTTTTGTTTTATTCACTATCTTGTTTTTATCTCCGTCCTCATTTATATAACCCTTTTCCCCAAAATTTGAGAAGGACTTTGTTCCCTCTCACCTCCCAACCGTCAAACTGGCTACCAAAAGTTCACGTGGTATTAAACCACCAACAGTGCGTCGCAATACTGCCCCTAAACCAAGAGGATTAAAAGCTGGACCTCAGGCTGCACCAAATACCTCAATATCGGCGGGTTCAGATTCTGATTTGTCAATGGCGACGAGTTTTTTGCCCTTTTGGTAAGTTCTCATAATTCTTTTGATTATTTGTTATTATTCTTGTTATTATCCGGGCTTCCGCGATATTCTCAAAGAAAAGAATATCGGGTGCTTTTCTTGTTATCATATGCATATGCCGAGAT